TTCCGAAATGAAGGGGCAAAGTAATATTTGCATTAGCAACTTTTCTAGGCGGAAGGTCTTGGTATGGGAGCAGAGCTAGCCTCTGGAGGTAATCAGAATCTGAATGACGCCGATTTCACGTGTTCGCTATTCCGATTCTTGCAGCTGACCTGTGAAGGTCACAATCTAGGCAAGTTACTTGGATTTTTATGTTTTCTATTGTACCATTGACTTATTGTTAGCTGGAACGAGTGAAGTGCCAGATCTCAAAGCTGAGCGAATATTTACAGATTTCCAAAATTATCTCCGTACGCAACCGGGTCATACAACAAGTGTTAATCTCATCAACAGCACCGTCGATTATCTCCTTCGTCTTCAAGAATCCGTTATGGATTTCTATTGGCACTACTCCAGCAAGGTATATTAGACTGCCCTCAAAGCAAACCGTGTTCAAACTACTGGTGCGGGGAAAGTAACCGCACTTCACATCAGCTAATTTCATGGTGGGGTTCTACAGTCGTAAATGTAACACTGCATCCAGGTGGGCAGCGCAGGACCTGGTGAATTGAATTGACGCTAGAGATACATCGGAATTTGCCAGAAAAGGTGCAGCCGCTGATGGGAGGGGGGGAGGGAAGTATGGCGGACGTGAGACGAAAAAAGCTCTGTATCAAAAATACTATCCCTCCACTCTAGCAACCAGTATCACCCCTCCTCCCCCTACTACCCGTAATACTCGTTGGGATCCCCAACGTAAGCCGTGTGCTGCACTGTGCACCAACCTTCCCGAGATGTCATACCTTAGTGCCGGGAGACGTTCGAGTTTTGTCAGTACGCCTTCTTTGGAAGTATGTATGCGCAGCATTGCTCCTGCCCCCCATTTACTGACACCTTCTTAGAAACATGGACCCATCTCTCTCAGAAAGAACGCTGCCGCGTAAACACACAGCTTATCAACCACTATTGGGGTGGCAAGATAAGTGAGGCGAGCCACGCGCCAAGGCTTACTGTTAGGTTCGGTAGAGCACAGACGACGAGAATCGCGTGCGGCATAGTCTCAATATTACGATCTCCCGCCGTCTGCGGTCGGATCTGCGTAGATACTACTTAGTACATTTATTTGATTGGTTTTAGTACATAAATCGTGACTATTTTTTTCAGGAAGTAATTGGAAGTGAAAGGAGGATACGGAGTACTTCTTGCGAGCGATACAACGTATGTCAGTCAAATAGTATTCAACACGCTAGCACTGAGAGCAATCACAGTAATCGCTAAGCGCTCACTGGAAGTAGTTGATTTTTTTTGAAAATTAAAGCAATGGAAAATCGACTAGGGCTGTAATAGGGTTCTTCCAGAAGGCCCGACAGGAAAGCTTGCTTGCTGACGATATTGTCACATTCATGGAGGAGGAGAATGCGTGCGCATCCCTAAAAGATTGGTTGATCGTTGGCAAGTACTCAACTTTTCTTATATCCTTCAGGACATAGCGTTGGTAACAGATGACGCTGCAGATTCACGTCTCTGGGATGCCATCAATGGTTTCTTCTTCCTTTTCGCCCACATGATGGAGAAATTGTACAAGAACTCTACTCAGCTTGAATTGCTTCGTGAATTTTTGAATCTCCAAAAGGATATGATTGTTCTGATGCTCTCTATGCTCGAAGGTACTGCACCGTATATTTCTGGATCAAGTGTACCCCGAGACGAAGCAACATAAATACCCCTTCTCAGGAAACGTTCTCAATGGACCAATCGGAAAGCAAATGGTCGACGCGTTGGTCGAATCACAACCGTCTGTGGAGAAAATTCTCAAATTCTCGGATATGTTCTTGAAGTTAAAGGACCTAACAACGTCACAAGCATTCCAGGTGAGTGAAAACCTAAAAAAGGATAGTGGGAGCTTCTTCACCTCGTGAGTCGGGTTGTCCTGATCCTTGACATGGTTGAACAGCACGCGATCCATTGGGAGTACTGGGAGCAAGACAATGGTTTGAAGGTACAATGTAATAATGGGGCTCGTGGTTCAGATTCGCTGAACGCGCGCTACTATGAGCTGACAACTCAGTTCAGGGTTGAGTGCGCTCTAGCATTCGCTAGCACGGTAACTTTGCGACCCGCTACCCTCCTCCGCGCCCCCAAATATTCACTTACAATTTTCTCTATGGCACTATAGCCAGACCGTGTCTGTGGTCCTGTGGAAATCTGAAAACTCTGTGTTGGTTCATAACCGTAAGAAAATGTTTATCTACTTGTAATTCTTATTCTAAGGACTTCGACACAAATCGAGACGGCTGGATCAGTCCAAAGGAATTCCAGAGGGCTATGGAAAGTCAGAAGATGTACACAGTGTGAGTTTACAGAAACAACTCTTAAACGAACTGTCAGAGACCTAGGTTAGACTAACTCAAAGCCGATTTCCGCGATGAATGATTCGTGTAAGGTTTCCGTACTCTTGGCAGCCAGGCCCGTACGCGCAGAGTGCACCACATTCGTCACAAGATGGTGTGAGTAAAGCAATCAGGACGCTTGACCTTTTACTACTTTAACCTTTTCAGGCTACAAGACGATGACGACTTACACCGCTAGTTACCGCGCGTGCTTCCTATAGCGTCATCAGCGCTTTGCCTAGAGACGAGTGCGCCCATGCCGTCGTCCTACCCACTCACTTTGATTCACCCCACCCACCGCTGCACCTAGCCTTTACAACAGATATCCCGCCAAAGAAGGTAATAAACAGAGACATGGCTGTCAATAAGAAACCAAATGGGATGAATACGCGGCTGTTATGTTAACCACGGTGCCAGTGTCAAGCGATTTCGTCCGATCACACTCTCTCTATCTTCACTGTCATGTCGTATAAAGTCGCTCCTAAGAAATCTTATTCGAAGCATTAGGCAGTTTCTTCTGCACTTTTTTGAACCACTATTGGGTTTTCTTGGCATCCTTATTTCACCCCCCCCCCCATACGATTTCCGATCGCCAGCTTTTCCTAGAAGGAGCATATAAAGCACATTAGGTTATGATAAGCGGTGCCGCTATCACAATCGCAGTCTTGGGGGACCGAATCTCGGCTTAGATATTCTCCAGATTATCCAAGCCGTCGACTCCATCAGGGTCGTGAACTGCGCCAGAATCGTCCTCTAGAAATGAAACGCCTACATTGGGGCCGCTTTTCTCCGCGGGCCAATATATGGGTGAAATATGTGTTCATCAGCATTGTGAAGTCCTACAAGTAAAGTGGCGTTCCCCTAAGCTGTACTGATCATTGCCGAGTACAATACTCTTAATCCTTTCTTTATCCATCATTACAGGGAGGACATCACATATCTGATGATGTGCACTGATGTGA